GAATATTGGCCAATTGGTCTAACTCTAAGAAGTAGCTAAACTTTGTTGTTGATAATGAGTGCTAAACACAGAGTCTGCTACTAGTGAAAGTTACTGGTCTTCTGTTATGTACTTGCAATAAGCAAACGACCGTAATGATATTCTCGTAACCCAGCTAATTAGTGTGATGTAAGCATAAAAGGAGAGAGAACTTCATTGAGCAGCTCCAAATACATGCCATTGTAGTGCTTACAACATGGTTTATTACATGTAACTGACTAACTTCCTAAGGCTCTCCTTAAAATCATTTTGTTGGATCAAATTGTATTCTGGAATGCTCTTTATCCCAATCATCAAGCACATGGCTATGTTTATTGTCTTATTAGATAAAATATAAGTTTTATAGATGCAGACTAAAATTACAAAGCATCTCAGAAAAAATAGGCTGCTACCGTCATTTACAACTCATAAGTAAGAACTTCAGTACAAATAATCAACAAATGGCAAACAAACTAACTACAGACAACTTTGAGTACAATCTTTCACTTAAAGTTTTAGCCCCCATTTAATGGTGATGTCATTGCTCATGGGAGAGGCTGTAGGCTTAGCAGAGCCAAGAATCCTGTCCCTCACATCCGTTTCTTTCTTGCCAAATATGATAAATTGAGGAAGTCCAAGCAAGCTTGTTAACAATAGTATTGTAGAGCAAATTTCTCTTCAGTTTCTTGCAAAGACATGGTAATAAATTTAGCCAGGAAGTAAAGAATGGTATAGCTGCCTTATGAGAAATGTCTTGTCAAATTCTGCTGGTATAACTGCAGGGGAAAAAAAGGATCCCTGGAGTCACTACCATCGGCTATATTCATTATAATTGTGAACCATTTGCTGTTACTTGTTCTATTCCTTTCTAAACTACTGGAATAGCTGGAGGGAAATCAAGTATGTAATTTGTGTTTTGTAGTCTATTTTCCTTGCATATGATGTCTCGTGTGAAGATGCTGGCATGCAATTGCCAATATGAGAAAGATGCTGGTTTCCATTTGTTTTGCAATGCTTCAATCTTTTAGTTCTTCTCTTCTGATGAATGGTTTTTCTTATTTATTTTTATTATGTAATGAACATCTTTTAAGATTTAATTTTAGTTTTTATGAGCCTCTGATCTTTAATTCTCAATCTTCAAGTGTGCTGAGAATGCTTAAGTTGGGTTCTTGGATGATCTTTACAACAGGCCATCACTGCTTTAAAAAAAGGGGCATACCTGCTAAAGTATGGAAGAAGAGGAAAGCCCAAGTTTTGTCCCTTCCGCCTTTCCAATGTAGGTTTGGTCTATGTCTTTCAGCTTGCTTGAGCCTTTTATTATGTTTCTTTAAGTGTGTTGATATCAGCAGAGTGGGTGGTTGCTTTTATTTGAAAAGAATTACTAACTGATTTGAGTATAGCCAGAACAATTAGTTTTATGGTGTTAATGTCATTGGTTACATGAGGCTGAAAGCATGGAAAGAAATTACACAGGCATGCACAATTAGTTTGTATAGGATTAAGATCTGATGGGGTAATCTGCATAATGTTGCCTGGACAACAATCTTGTTTTTGCTTAGTTATGGTATGGTTGGTGGCTCTTTTAGGGTTTCAAAGGAATGATTT